ATGTGAATCAAAAGGCGGCTGGTTCTGTCGTGAATATCAAACCTTCTGAAAATTGTAAGGGTGTTTTTCCATCGATTGTGCCCAGCAACACCGCCAAAGCGCTTTTGGCTAGCTGCACCACACGATGCATAATCATTGGTCTTGGAGTATGGGCTGTGAATGGGCTTTCCATGGGAGCATAAGGGGTAGCAATGAACATGCCTTGTTGTTCGCCCATCGTCCGCACAAGCGCTGCAGTGTCTGCCTGTAGCTTACTGTCTACAGAATACGGTAAAAGAAGCGGATTTGACCAATCATGAGTGGCAATTATCTGGAGAAATCGAACAAACCCGCCCACAAATGTCTTGGGTGGATTTGAACCCAAATATGCGTGGGCAACGAGCAGCTCTACGGCTTCTGGTAGAACAAATTCGAGTAAAAGCATTGCACTCAACCAACGCTTAGACAATCGGACAGCCATAGGATAGCTGTGGTGACCAAACGCAATGGTGCGCAGGAATTTGGCATGTTGCACACTCCAAAACAATTTGCGTTCAATCATAGCAGCCTCTGACTCGCGTTGCAGCGCCCTCAGGAGTGATACCTCGCGGTAATGTGCAATATAAAATCGAAAAAGGTATCCTTTGTAAATAATATCCACCGAATGACTTGTGCAAGATGTGCGTATGTGGAGTCTTTGGAGCTCACACTGCGGTTCTTTTTGCTGATTTTCAACATCTCTCTTCACAGGTTTCTTTGATCTTGCTCCACTATGCCTCTTGTCATCGCCGTAGTATTCGTGTAAAACCTTGGACAGTTGCGCACAAATTGCTCCTTTAATTGCGGCAATGGCCTCAATTGTATCAGGAATCTTATTCTTATCGTCGATTGTAAGAACGCCGTGAATAGGCTCAATGGTAGGCTCCGTGCTGAGCCCTGCAAAATTTGGCTGTGTAAGATCATCGGTGGTATAAGTGAGTGCAAGATGCGGACGCACAGGAAATGTGGCTGTGTGACGTTCACTGGGTGCAATGATCTCTAATGAAGTGATTTTACACGGCAATGCGGTACGTGGAATTTCGCCTATCATCGTTTCAACGTTCCTGCACGCCTCCATGAGTGACTTTTGCATCATCGGGGCCGCATCGCGCCACTCCGCACCAATGCGCTCTGCTAGTACCCCCTCAAGACCACCAAGAAGCAAAGAGACCTTTGCAGTGGGGAGAAGGTGTTTTCGCAGTGCAAACTCCAACACACGACGGATGACGGTGGCTGCAGAAAGTGCGATGGTTGTATTGGCACCAACGTCATCATCAAATGACCACAAGACACATCGGTGAATACTGCCATCAGGGAACTGCCGCGTTGACGTGATGTCTTTTCCCCAGAAAGCATTGAAATGCTCAACAGCCTCTGTGTCTTCCACGGGAGGACCACGCGTGAGACGGTTTCGTCCCTCCACTTCGGTTGTCAGCTGCACCGCAACGTGCACGGAGTCTTCGCCTCGGCGCCAAACAGTTGCATAACTTGAACGTGAGCCGAGTGCTTCCTGGACAAGGTCTTGTATCGCTTGCACCCGCTGCACTGAAGGAGACCGCGCGGCACCAGTTTTCTTGACAACCGGCGTACTGTCCGTCTCCGCAAAGTACGCTAGGAGGCCCTCTACAACGAAGCAGGTATCCATCACAAGCTGGAGCGGTTGAAAAGGAAATTTCACAAAAACCTCAGAAAAGTGCGGTAGTTGAAGTGCTTCATCGGCGGCTCTTTTAACAACCTTCTGGAAAAATGCCGCAGACGAGCGAAAAAACAAATTCATGGTTTCCCCTGCCAATCGCAGCACTGCCACCTCACCACGCTCCTCTGCCGCTGGAACAGGCGTCTCTTTCCAGATACCATTAATTTTGTTGTGTGTAGGCCCACGGGAAAGATACACCCACACCGCTCGTATGACATTCTCTTCCGACATGCTGGGTAGTATGACGCCCTCCTCAACGAGACGCAGAAGCAGCGCAGAAATATGAAAACCACTCAGACCTTCTGGGTGGCCGGAGGTGCGTGCCATGAGTCCGACGTGGTACGCCCAACACTTTAGGAAAACTGTGGCACGTGAGAGCAAGTGATTTTTCAAGTAGAGCTCGTGCAGCTTGCGGAGATGCACCGTCATGAGGGCGTCTTCCTGCACGAGATAGCTGTAGAAAGGGTGCTTGCGAACAGCCGCTACACTCGCAATACGGCCTGTGAGGGCAATGGGCTGAAAGTGGACATCGACGTGGAATACCTCTCGCCGGGTCTTGTCAGACCTGGACTTCAAAAAGCATATTCGCAGAATATCCTTCTCTGTCTTCACCGATCCACCACCAAAAGGAACACGTCGAACCTCCCATGGAACAATTGACCGTCTTTCGTGTTCATCTGTCATTTCTCGTTCTTCTGTTTCCGCTGTTGCAGATGACTTTGACGCCTTCTTCTTCATCATCTTCTCGTTGTACTTCTTCAGAAACTTTTCCACCTTCAACAGAAATACGTGCCGTCGCTCCAAGTAGTGGCCATCATGAATCTCTTTCAGTGAACACACCTCCTCCGGTATCTTGATGGCAATATCCGCCCCCACGCCGTGCTCCAATTGAGTTTCATATAAAGGCGTGGAGTGCACGCAAGTACGCAAAAGAAAACTTCCAACAGAACTGATGGGGCCTTCTTCCTGTTGGCGCTGTTCCCCGTCCTCCTCAGCAGTTGCGGTTGTATGCGTGACAGCAGAATATTTCTGCTTCCGGTAGAACACTTCCAAAGAGGCATGTACCTGCTGCAGCCGCAGCTCCACGCGTCTGATGAGCGCTTCCGACCAGTGCAGTTGATACGGTGTAAGTGACATAATGGCGTCCTTAAATGCACTGAACAAAGAAAAAAATATCAAAATAAACAAATAAATAGGCATAACAATGGCAAAATACTCCACGAGTGATGGACTACGCGGAAAAGGAGAAACACAGTGGTCACCCCTTTTCACAATAGTCAAACAAACAACAACCAAAAAAAAAAAAAACGTAAAAGCCACAGTACAACAGAAAATTTGATGTGTCCTCCTCTCCCATTAGAGTAATAGCGGTGGCAGGGGCTTTAAAAGACCCGCCAGGGAACGGCAGCAGGTACGACACCCCGGCTCTTTTTTCAGTTGCAAAAAGAAACCCACAGGAGATTCTTACTCGCGCCTATGGATGCGATGGCGCAGCTTTTCTCGCAAGCGTAGACGCGCCCGTTCCTCCTCCAATGACGCTAGGCGTATCTCCAATTGTGGCATTGTGACGGCATGAGATATGGGCCACCGCGAGGGTTGCGGCAATTCACGCTCGTGGTGCGATGAGGATGCCGTGAGTTTTCCATTCAAACCATCAGCCCCTTCGACAACTGTGGCTCTTTTAGCCTCCTCCTTTGCTTCATACGACGCAGCAGCAACAGTAGGGTCAGCAGAAGAAGCAACGACGCCGGACGGGGCGGGTTGCCGCGAGGCCAAAGCACCCTTCAGTTCCGCAATTTCATTTCGTTGACTTTCAATTTGTTTCTGGAGTCGTCGTTCCTGCTCCTCCCCCTTGCGTGCCTCGCGATCCCTCTCCTTCAACAGACCCGAAACGTATTCCGTCATCTCAACATCGTACTGCGCAAAGGCCCCTCGCAACTCTTCCACTTCTTTGGTATGCGCCTCATGAAGTTCCGCAAGTTTTGTTGCCAGCTCCTTTCTATGATCGGATTCCTTCTGCTTATTGAGATTTTCCAAGCGCTTCACCTCCGTCTGCAGCACATCCAACTGTTCCTCCAGCTGGCTCTTAGTCTTTTCCATCGAACGTATTTGTTCTGTCGAAACAAGCATCTCTTGAAAGAAACCTTCCTGTGAGCGCAGTGCCGTCTTCAGATCATCAATGAACGCATTCTTTTCTTGGAGCTCGCCAGTGAGACGACTCACAGCTTGCTTTTGGAGCTCCAACTCCATGGAAAAACGCTGCTGCATATTTGCGACTGAGTCCCGTTGGGCGCAAAGATCAACAAGTGTCTCGCCGTACCGCTCCTGCAACTGAAAGGGTTGTCCACATGTTGGGCTGGCAAGAGTCGTCACTGGTCGCGTTATATCGCTGGTATACATAGATCCTGTTGTCTGGTGCCCGAGGTCGTACACGCCGGCCGAAGTGCTGGCCCTCCCATCTGCGCTACCCATCGCGTGGGGATAATGGAATGCCTCACGACGAAAGGGAGAAACGTGGTTTTCAAGGGGAATCACGGAGTCTCTAATGCTATCACGCTCTCCATTCGCCTTTGGACCCACCGATGAAGTTGGCCCAGTAAACTCTAGTGCTTCAATGGGTTTTGCAACGGTCTGGGCACCGGAACGACTCGGCGGCCCAACGGAAAACGATGGCGACGACAACCGATGCCACTTGTCGTTCTCAGCAGCCAACGATGAAGGTGATGACTCTGGTGGGTCTTGTGGAGCTGAAAAGTGCACTCCTTTCGGAGCGGTTTGCGACAAGTCTAATCGAATTTTTTTCTCCGGTAACGACGCCACAGCGACGTTTACCACCCGCACGTTAATTGCCGCTTTAGAGACGGCATCTGAAAAGCCATCAGCATCGCTTTGATCCGCAAAACTGAGATTAATTGGTACCTCGCCACGCACATGTATCTTACAGCAGGGCTTGCCAAATAATTCCTGCTTCGAAAGCTCAATTTCCGTAATATTGGCAAGAGAAACGGTCCGAGTAATTCCACCCGCAGGAAGGCAGACAAGCAGCGCTGATGGGGTGACAAAAACGTTACGGGAGAGGATGGTGTCATCCGTTCCAATCTTCTCCACTTTAGCGTAAAACAAAACAGAATCCCTCACTGTTGCCATCGATACATACCGCGCAGCTCCTCCTCCCTTTTTTTCCCCTTTCCTTTTGCCTCTGTGAGTGGTCTTGCCCCTCTTGAAAAAGAAAAAGAAAATAATAAAAAAAATGTCATTTCCCAGTGCAATTTTTTTAATTCTTTTTCAGCACTTAGCAGTCGTACTAACGACACCTCTACAATGTGCAGCTCTGGTAAGCGTACGTTGAAATTCAGCAGCAAGGAATGACCTTACCCAGCGGGCAGCCATTATAGAATGGCTCCAACATCTTGTGCTCCTCTGTCCCGTAAAACTAAGTAACAACTACGCATCGGGTTTGAAGCATGAAAAGCAGGCACTTGGCTTCCTCCCCAGCAAGAGAGTAGTAAGCTCTGACACCACGTTGAAGTGGCCGGCTGAGCCAGACCCCAAGGCAATTCATAAAAAAACATCACATTCATGACCGCACGCACAAAAATAATATATACACATGTGTATATAATAACGCATAAATGTGTTTGTATGCAACTGTGAATACACGAGCGGGGAAAAAAAAAACAGTACAGCACGGGTAGGTATCTCTGGTTTCAAATGAAAAAAAAAAAAACATCCATCAAAAAGAGCAACGTTCAGTGCATTCTATGATGTTTCGTTTTTCTTCTGTTTTCGTTTTTCCTTTTACCTTTGTATGGATTCATTCTGCTAAATGATAGGAATCATGTCGCGTATCGTCCAAACCTCAACACGCCCATCAAGACTCGCCGTGGCAAAAACGGGGCCTTCCATCGCTGATTTAAAGGCTGCCCCATCGTCAATTAGCGTCAAGACACCATTGATGGTGTTCTTGTGGCGTGTCTGCTCTTCTTCAAGGAGTTCCGCCTGACCAATGCGTGCCTCGTTCTGAAACTTCTCACGGGCAATCTGTTGCGCCGTTTTCGCCCCCTTTACCCGAGTCATGGTCCACTTGCCTGACATTGTCCACCCGGTCCCTTTTTTAGACGGTTGAAAGAGCGCCGGAAAATAGTCAAAACCGCCCCCAACAAGGTGATCCTCAAGCACGAATGCAAGCGACTTGAGAGGAAGTATCGCCAAGCTAACGCTATAAATAGCTAAGCCCTCGTCGATACTCTCGGAAAGATTGTCAACGGAGGGTATATCAAAGACATGTACACGACTATCATGGGTTGCAACTGCAAAACGTTGACCCGATGGCGCCCATGCGATGGCATGTACCCATGCCCCAAAGCACTTCTCTAAATAGACGTGGCCAAAGGAGGAAGACTTCTTACCATCCAACTTCTTCATGAAGGTGGAGATAAGCATCAGCCTCCCGTCAGTGCCTCCAGAAAGTAAAAGTGTGTCATCAGATGGATGCGGTGCTAGCGCTGTCACTGTACTCGTGTGTCCTTCAAGCAAACGGCATATCCACCATTCATTTTCCGCGTCAAAGCGTCCAACGGCGATATTTGAGGCGGCAGAGCCCACATAAATCTTTGAACCAGAATGATTCCATGCGCAACTCGTTAGACCCCGTTTTACGCCTGCATCCAGCATGACCATTTGCGGCTTCCACTTCCCTTTGGCATTGCGCTGCCACACAAAGGCTGTACGGTCCTGTGAACATGAAAGAATACGATTCGTGGAGCCATGCCAAGCAGTGGCGGAAACGGATTGATCGTGATGCTCCAGGGTGGCATAAATTTCCCATGTACTACAATCCTTTATGTCTTTGCAAGAAACAATATACAGCAGGTGGTTGTTCGGCGAAAAAACCGCCTCCGTGCGGTCCTTATTGAAGGAAAAACCAACAATGGCTGCCTCGCAAATGGTTTCTTTCTGCTTTGGAGTCGCCATTCTAAATAATAATATCAACCGTCTTCTATTCGATATCGTTTGCTTCTCGTTCTTCTATTTTTTTTACTGGGTTCCCGTCTTCTCTTCTCGTCCCTGCCTTTGCGTGAAACTCTGCATCGGGCGGCCCGTCCAAACAAAGCAAAGCAACAACACCGGCAGTACCCACCAAAAGACGCATGCCAAAAGAAAAAAAGAAACTAAATAAACAAACAAATACATGTATGAGTGCCGCAAGGCCAACCACCATAAACCGAAAAAAAAAAAAGAAAGAAAGAAAGAGAAAATCAACTCTCAATTATTTTTTGTTCTCTTTTTTTCTTTTCTGGAGTCCGAGTGCAACTCAGAGATTTTGTTCTTATGACTGTTGATTCACGGCGGGGTGGATGAGAGATGCGACAGAGACCTGAGGCGGCCGCCACTGCGGGCTTGTGCGAGGATTATGATAACACAGCCGTTGCAGCCCCTGTGTCAAACCCTGGAGTCCGTCAATGTCTTTTTTCCCGCGTAGAACCTCTCGCTTTAGGTCGACCAAATACCTCCCACACCCATCAAAGCTTGAGGAGACCAGAACAATGTTGCACGTCTGCTCCGCGTATACCTTCGTTCCATTGGCTACGTCCAAACGTGCCAGGTTCAACGCAAAAGCGGCACAACGGGCAAATGTTTTTCGCGCCGCGATGCCATAACGATCGCAGTCACGGCTCAGCGCCAACTCCTCTTCCAGTGACACCAAATGAATGACGTCACGGTATGTCTCAAGAAATTTCACCAACACGCGCCGCCGACTCTCCAACATGTGTTGCTGCTCCGAGCCAATTTCTCGCCAAAGTGGGTCGTTTAGCAACTGCTGTGTGCCTTTTTCAAAGGTCCCATCCACACGCCGTCCACCGCCGTTCCGCAACGCCACAAGAGAAGAATACGGAATCACTACCGCGGAGTAGTATGAGGCAAATGGCATAAACCATTCCTCAAGGTTTGCAAGCACGTCCGCTGCTAGCACAGCAATCGCCGCCCCTTTTGGAACTCGTGTAGGCACCTGTGGAGCCATCCCAGTAAAGCTATTCATACGAAGCTGAGCCACACGAAGTAGTGGACGCAAATACGACTTAAGACGTGAATCGATCGTGGGGTCAACGCGCAGCCGTACCAGAACCCCCTCGACAGCCTCTGCATATGTTGGGTATCGTGCTAAAAGATCCTTTTCTAATGGCGTAACAATTGAACTCGTGCTTATTGCCGCCTGTCCCGAGTGTCCATCAACTAATGTGTTTGGCATCTGATGATTAACGGTGTCGTTGACTTTCAAGAGAGACTTCAAGGCCAACTCATGCCAGTCAAACATTTGGAGAACAGTGGAAGAGCCATTAGGTCGTTTAATTACAGCCTTATGAAGATAGGCGTATGTCTGCGGCGTTGCTGAGATATTGTATTTCGTCTGCATTAGCAGAATTACTTCTTCTGCCTCTCGTACTGTCAAGTCACCAGATAAAACAGCGTGAAACGCACCTCTAGAAAGGGGAGCACCAGCCTCAACAAGCACTTCCAGAGTTGCCCGAGCATCCGCACCATAGCCAGCTTGGG